AAATAGGTCCTGAAGCATACTAAGAAAATAATAATGGATACTGATAGCTCAAAGGGATTTTCAGCTAATGTCTTTATAGAGTTTGTTAAAAAATAAATGACTCGTAATCATATGTGTTTCCAGCCACTTGTTATCACTTTTAGTAATCAACTCACTCATAAAACCCATTACCCTCTAGTTGGAATTCACTCACAGCTGACCGTCAAGTGGGTTTCCAATGTTGTTAAGTTCCTTAGGAGTAGAATGCCTGTCTTTTTCCTGCTGAGGTCTTGTGGATTCCACCAGCCAGAGAAGAATGACTTCTGAGTTATCAGCACAATCCCCTTAGGACCAAGCCACTACAGCTCCCTAATAAAACCATGATCAACCATTATAAATATGCTGTGTCAAAAAGATAGATACAGGTCTAAATGTGAACCAAAGAGGAACAAGCAGCCCAAGAATTGTTTGCTTAATTATTACTTCTGCTTCCAAAGATAAAGGCATATAGTGTTCCAAATGGATGAACAATTATTAGTGAATTAATAGATAGATTTTTACAAATTTCCTTGAATTCTCTAAGTATTACATTTCACAAGAGAAATTGAGACTCTTCAAAAGCATGTAAGCTTGTAACTGAATGATAAAAAATCTTAATTAAACAATGTGCCTTAAGAAAGAAATCAAAAATAGAAGTCTAGTCTGTTAGAATCATGAATGGTTTATAAAAGCAGTGCTAGATCTTTAAATGTGATTTATATTTTCAAAGAGATGCACTGTGTGTACATATAGGCATGCACATGCAGGTAGGTGACATTAAGAAACATCATCACTTAGAATTAATATGACTATGTATACATGCTTAGGTCTCAACTTGAGATTTCACATGTGTTTGTTTATTCTGGTGTGAGTGGAGGAAAGGACTTAGAACCAATGGCCAGTTAAAATCCTTATATAATTGGACATATGGTCACGCAGACTTCAAAGCTGCAATCTCATTAAACCCCATTAGTTTTAAGTTGACTAAATGTCTATTAATAGGGACACAAACCTAAAGACTTTATTAAAACTACAATTAAGACAATTATTCTTCTTACAAGAGATGCCGCTTAAGAAAACAATGCCTAATTAGGGCAACTTGAGTTAAGAAGACTGAACTACAGGAATTTACTTTTTTGTGGCGCCACAGTGAACTTCATCAGAGAGATGTGGAGTTATTTTACATGTTGTGACTTTATTCATGTTCTAGTTCTACTAATTTGTTTATTTACTATTCTTATTTAGGGAGCTCTGGTGGCCTAGTGGCAAGAATCTGTGCTGCAATTTCAAAGTCATGCAGTTTGAGGCCAAGAGCTGCTCTATGGGAGAAGGATGGGCAATCTCTTCCTATGCGATTAACTGCCTCTGAAAACTCCTTGAAGGGTCAGCTATGGGACAGTTCCGACTCAATGGTACACAACAACAACAACATTCTTATTATTTAGAAACACCAAGAGATTTAGAAATGCCTCTTCAGTTGCTTAACAAGAAAGAATAAAAACTTTCATTTGCTGCTTTTTTTCTTAGCCTCATCCTAAAATGTCAAAGTCTTAATAAACTGCACAAACTCTATTAAATGTTATTACACTTTCCACCATTCTAAAATCAAAATTGACATAATAGAAACATTATATTTCACTTTGCTATTACTGTCTAGCCTAAAATAAGCACATATTTAGTGTCTCACCATGTTCAGATGTGTAAGAAATCCAAAGACATTTCATCTAATATCAGAACTATCAACACTTGATTTACTTTGTAATTTAGCTTTTAAAAAACAAATATTATGTAGAAGAGAAATAGCAGAAGATTAGAATTTTCTTAAGTAGTATCCCTTACACCAAACTGTCTTGCACATTACTATAATAGTACGTTCCCAGCTACTTTAGAAGAGGACATGTATATTACCAAAACAATAATACTGCCACTCATGGAGTCTCGCTGATATATTTTCTTCTTCTTGTTGTTTATACCATCAAGTCTGAACCGACCTAGAGCTGACCCTCCAGTAAGTTTTCAGAGGCAGTTTATCACAAGAAAGGAGACTGCCCATCCATCTCCCATATCTTTTTTTACAAGACAGCATATTTCCAGGTATTTTCACATATTCTCACATGTGTGAACTTTATGGGCTCAGAGAAAGATGAACAATCTTTTCTCAAGTAATTAACAGCCTATGAAAACCTGCTGGACAGTTAGCTATGAGTCAGTTCCGAATCAACAGTGCATAACAACAACATATCTGAAACAGTAGAAAACTTGAAAAATATTTTTGATAAGTGAAGAAGTTTACAGATAAAACTTATAGGCTTAAAAAATACCTAAGGGTGACACGTCTATTATTTATATTAAAACTTTTCACTTGTTAAGAACCACAAGGAAAAAAAAAAAAAAAACCAACCACAGTAAAGTCTTCAACAATACCAAATATGTGTAATGTCCCACTTTACTAAGTTTAAGTAAGGAGGTTGACAATAGCAATCATCCTTCTAAAATGTATTTTCTTGACTCTTCAATGACTAGTAAAAAACATCAGTTAAAAAAATTGCAGAGAAGGACAAAACCAGGCAGCAAAGCTTCAGACTCGTCCTTTTATATCTATACAACAGTCACTTGAGGATCTTGTTAAAAACATGGTTTCTGATTCGGTGTATTTGGAGGAGAAGGGCAAGTTGTTGGCAGAGAGTCAAAGCAAAAGGAACCCATTCCTAGTGAGGTCACCGGGAAAGAAGCAGAGGGCTTATGTTTCAACACCCTTCCCTCTCTGTCCTTAATTCCAATCTATAAAAGACTAAATGAAACAAAAAACAAAACAAAAAAAAAGAATTCAACTTCTGGTAAATAGGGTCACTGGCATAGCTGAACCTACTTCATAGTCTGGAATCAACTGCTTCTTGAATCAATCAACAAGTTCTTATTAAGCACTTACTAGTTTCTTCACAATGTTCTAGGTTTTGCATATATGACAGAGCATAAGGTCCCACTCTAGTCTCTCTGATCTAAAATCAATCTACACCAACAGTGCTCTGATTTCTTCAGAAAACCTTTATTTCTTTGCATCCAAACCTGATCTGAGATATAGTGCTCCCATTTAGGCAAGAAGCATAAACACCTGAACTGTTAGAAATGGCATGTTGAAGATATTTACATAAGGAAGAGTAATTAAGGAAAATTCTCAGTGGAGTTCAAGGTAGGAAAGGGCAGGAGGAAGAGAAGGTGTGAAACACCTGGTTTGTGGTTAAGTAACACAGTGAAATGTACTTAGGTTATTAAAATTCTCCAAACTTAAATCACCTGAGTGAGATTTCAATAGTAAGATCCTAATTCTGAACGAGAAAAATGTATAGAGATCAGGAAAGGGGTGGGGGTGGGGGGTGAATATCAGTAATGCAATTCAAAATTCAACATGAGGAAACAAAAATGGTCTGGAAAAAGCCAGGAGAATTATCTACTGAGATGGGAGGAGAGGTTCCCAGGAAGAGTCACTAATAGTATAACCTTACTTTTCTGTATTCTCAAACCAGCTGGTTCCTTTAACACTAGAGGGCACGAACACCAACACACGCTTCCTTACAATTACACACACATATAGACACACGGAAAGAGCACAGACGCAATGTTCATATAAAGGTTGGTGAAAATCTAAGTTCTCCAAGGAAACCGTTCATTTCAGCGAGCTGGAACAGCCAAACGTCTTTCGCCCTGCAAATAAACCCTCTGTGCTGTATTTCTAGGAAGAGTGGCTGGGCTCTCTCCCATGGAAACCGCTCTCCTAAATAAAGATGCCATGGATGGTAGTTTGTGACAGACCTGCCTCCAAGGTCCCCAATGCTCCCTCCCCTCCTCTGCTCTTAACACTTTCGCCTCAGCAAAACTCCCCACCCTTTGGAGGTCAGTTTTCCTTGAACCCCACAGCTTCTGGGTTTTCCCCTGTTCCTTCCCCCCCAGATGCTCATTAATGCTGGAGAGATGGACTCTCCACTTGCAGACTCAACAGTATTAAGACCGACAGCTTTGCTTTCACTGTACAAATGGACACTTTCCGTGCGCTCTGCTCCAAGTCAGCGCAACGCCCTAGGTTTCTGAGCAGCTAAACCCTCACGGAGCCCATGGCTCTGACCTCCATGGCCCACACTCAGCCCCAAGAGCCCCAACAAGGGCAGCTTGCCTCCATCCCCATTTCTTCATAATCCAAAAGGCAGGTGTCTGTACCTGGTCTACCCACCTCACCCCCCCAACCAACCCCGGCCAAGGCATTAGACAAATCACATCAGGGGGACAGAAGTAGAGGAACAGGAAAAAGGGGTGAGAAGAGAGGGAGACAATCAGTCAATGGCAAAAACCAAGGAAATACTGCAAGATGTAGAGACAGCTGAAGAGACAGAATAAAGGGGACACAGTGACATCCCAAGGGAAACAGCGACAGAGATACACGCACCTAGAATTGGGGGGGGGGGGGGGGGGAGAAACTAAGGGCATACAGAGAGGTTAAGATTAAAGGGTAGAGAGTAGTGAATAAGGAGGCACCCAGAGGGGGACCCTAAGAACTGGAGCTTTCCCAGGCTCGGGCCGCGGAGAAGCACCGGCATCCTCGCTGCGGGCCACCCGCAGCTGGTTGGGGAAAGTTGCGGGGCAGGAAGGCTGAGTCACCCACGCCACCGAGAGACACCAGGGTGCACAGGGTGCCCTGCCCAGCGCCCACCAAGTTAGCCAGCAGCGGGCAAGGCTAGGGACAGGACGGCCAGCGGCACAAAGTTCCGCGCCCGGCGGTCCGGGTGCCGCACCTGCAGACACCAGCAAGGCGCGCTGAGAGCCGCGGAGATAGCTCGCCCGGACCAGTATCTCCAGCGCCCCGCCTCGGGACCGGTCCGGGGCGCTCGGTTCCGCACCCCCGCACTCCCTGCAGGACTTTGTGCCGGCACTTGCGCTGCCCGAAGAGGACCTGTCCCTGACATTTACAGAGAAGAGAGGAAGACGGAGACCTGCTATCCGTGGCCAAGGATCCCACGAAGAGGCAACGATTGGCGTGCACGTCCGGACTTGACACTCGCAGCCAGCTCAGCAGGCGCCGGCCGACGGCTCCGAGTAGCCGGCGCGCCGAGCCCGCGCTCACCTGGAAGCCGCCCGCGAGCGCCGCGCGCCCCACGGCTCCCGCCCGCGCCTCTCCCTTCACACTTCCCCGCGAGCAGAGCGTGCGGGCTCCGGCCTCGACCAGCCCGGGAGAGGAGCCCTCATAGCGCAGCGGCGGGCTGGAGGGCTGGTTGGGCGCAGGGATAGCGGATGTCGAGGCCAAGGAGGAGCAGGACACGGAGCGAGGGCTCCTAGCACATTGTCACCTCAGTCAAGGCGCCACTGCCGCCGCCGCCTGGTCACTTCGCCCCCGGCCCCCGCCCCCCTCCCTCCCTCCCCAGCCCGCTCCCTCCCAGGCCCTCCCCCTCGCTCGGCCCCTCCCCCTCCCGTAGCCCCCGCCTGGAGGCCTCTCACTGGGCTGGTATCATTTACGTAACCAGCACCCCCAGCCCTCCTCCCTTCTCCCTCCCGCTTCTCCCCGGCTGGGGTGGTGCGCACCGAGCGCGCTCCTGCTGCTCCTGGAGCTGTGGCTTCTGCGATGCGCACAAGTCCCGCGATACTTGGCAGGCACAGCCCCCGAGAGCAACCGAGGGGTCGCCTCCTCTCCCCCTAGAGCAAATCCGTAACCCCGACTGCCCAAGGACCTCGAGATACCCACGCCCGCCGCTGGTGCCTTCACCGAAGTCGCCCAAGCTACCAGGCAGCCTCTTCGAGAACTGTTTGAGGGTCAGAGATTGCCCTCCGGGAAAGTTCATGCAACCTCTTCCCCGCCATCATTCCCAAAGGAGAGAAGCTTTGAGGGGACTTGAGATTTCCATGTCCTAAAGCAGAAAGAAAAGATAAAATCTGCCCTCTTGTCTCCTATAGTTTGCACACCATGGAAGATCCTGGTGCTGTGGTTACCGGTGGCTACACTGTGAAAAAACTGGAAATGTGTAATGATTCCTTTTGATCCGTATTTATTTTTTTTTTTTTTTGAAGAGTTAAAAAGAAAAGTGAGGCTTTATCTATGATCCAGGGAAGAAGAGGTTTAAATTCCTTTCTGAATCAGGAAATGCAATTTCTCTGTGCCACGTTTGGTCTTTAGCATGCATGTCTGAATGCTTGCGTTTCCAAGTTAAGACGTAGTGCAGGAGAAAGCCTTTAGTACTTAATGAGGTAAAATTCATGTAAGGATCTTAGAACTGTGCCTGCCTCAGGAATGACTGACTTAAAAGCCACAACACTGTCTTTGAGTAGGTTAAGGTTGTTGCGACCCTCATTCTGCTTCTAAATCTTTAGAAGGCTGCCCATCACACGGGACTGTTGGTGGATTCTAGCTGAAGTCTTTCAATTAGCAACCTGATAACAGTAAACACTGTGCCACCAGGACTCCTTAGAAATCACTTAAAAGTCGGTTATTATTAGTGCCTGTAAGCCTTGAGATGAATCCTCCATCTCCCATATGGGACTCTTCTAAAGAACCTGAGCAACTGAGCCCAAATCCCAGCTGTACCTCTTTTTCTCTGTTGACTTTTGGCTAATTCTAACCTTTGAGTTTCTTCAATCTCAGATTCCTTGTTTGTAAACCCCAAAACACGCCCACTGCCACTGAATTGATTTTCACCCATAGTGACCTACTAGGACAGGAGGACACCCCTCTACAGTAAGTTTTCCAGGCTTTAAATCTTTATGGAAGCATATTCTGCTGAGTTCTTACTGGAATCCAACCACACACCTTTGCTTTTAGCTGCTCACCAGCAGCCTTCACTATTTAATCAAGTACCAAAACCACACCCACTCTTAGTGACCCACCATAGGTTTCCCAGACTTGTATCTTTTACCAGAATAGATTACCACTCTTTATCTAGCTGAGCTGCTGATGGATTTGAACTGCTGACCTTTTTGTTAGCAGCCCAATACAAAATTAAATACTCCGCCAGAGTTCCTGTAAACCAGGCAGGGATGAAGCAAAAATCCCTTCCATTCCCACACTGCCATTTCACATGGCTTAGCTTCCTGTTCTAAATCATACGGGTTTAATTTCCTGTGTGTTTGTTTTTAATCTTCATGGGCCTTTTT